TATGGCAGGAATGACACTTGTTGTCATATCCGGTTAGTCAATGACCACTAATACTGGCTAATGGGATTAATTAGTAGTTGTATGTTTAGATTTACGCTTTCGCAGTATTTTATGTGAGCATTTTTAGAAATATTTTCAGAAAATGTTTTCGAAAAACTTTATTCGTATTTTTAGGAGACGTTTTATTAATCTTTAAATAAAATCTTCCGCTGTGTACGTTATAATATCATGATGTTAACAACCGGAGTCCTACGAGGTGTTACAATGGTCTTCAGCCACTGTCAGGACCTGTTACGCAGTGGTAATCGATTACCAAAAATCTAGTAATCGATTACCTAGTGCAGTAATCGATTACCACCGATAGGGGTAATCAATTACCTCACCTGTTAAAAAAAAGAGAAAATTTGTTTTACACCATTTGGCTCATGGTATTGCCTAATAAGGTAATGTACACAATTAGTTAACGCTTCTGAATTATGTATGAATTATAATTACTATAATTGGGTTAATTGAATACGTATTTAATTATTTACAGTAAGCAAAAAAGAAAAAAAATTATCCGTTATTTTAATCAATTACTGTTATTGTAACTGCGTTTAATAGCATATTTAATATTAACAAACCTGTTTAGAACGAGACATTAAAAATATCCATATTTATAAAGAAATTATTAAAACAAAGAGTGTATTCAGATAGGAGAGTCTGTGTCTCTACTTGTGTAGGGAAGTGTTTAGGGACTCTTGGAGCACATAGGTCTATGGCTTGACTCGCAACCTGGCTTTACCGACATGCTTATGTTTGAACTTTGGGACATCTTCGTTGCCTGACCATTGTGGGAAATGGCTTTTCACACCCGATCTGTTGGTTGGAAAATGATTCTTCCACTTCTTTGTATGGGAAAAGTGTGTATCATTTTAAAGGATATAAAGTTGTGTCATTTTAAGTGAGATAAAGAGATAGAGAAAAAAGGAGAGAGAGTAGATAAAAAAATATAAAGGTGTGGGTCCCACCTCTTTGTGAGAGTGAAAAAATATAAGTTGTGTCATTTAAAAAGATAAATAATTTTCGGTCTTTGCATTTAGTTAGAAATAGTTGCACTCCATCTCATCCCTTTGCTCCGTAATCCGTATGTCCGTTCCACTTGCTGCGGTCTCTTTTACGTAGAATTACTTATAGGCTTTATTAATCTCCATCAATAGGAGAGAAGATATCTCCTACTACTCTCACAATCATATGATGGGACCATATAATTATAAAAAAATAAAATAAAATAAAACACAAGAATCATGTCTCTGGAACATAAACCCTATCTTATGTGGCTGAAGACTAATTTTTCCCATTACTTAACTATGTTTATCATTGATGTATTATTAAATTACATAAACCCTTAGAATTTAAATTACATTATTGAGTCAACCAATTATTGTTCTTATCCTATTAGAAAATTTGGTATGGAGATAGTGGGATGATGTCACAATGCGCGTAGGCCGTGTATAGGTTTTCAAGGATCCTATTGTCACGCTCCTACTGGTCCCTCTTCTCCACGTGTACTACCATACTCTACATTTCCTGAAAATCCCCACTTTCAAGTTTGTTTATGGGTTTATTAATGTCATGTGGTAGGAAAGTAATTTTCTTTTATCATAAGCATAACTATGCATGAGACCCATTAATTTATAAAAAATAAAAAAATAAAAAAAGAATTATATTGATATCGATGAATGTGTAGAAAATAAAATTTATCTCCAAAATAACATAAGAGTAATTTTTTCTTTTATTTATACCTGAGATATTCTATATTCACCACATAACTTGTGATTTTTTTAAAAATAGAATTACATTGACATGGATATGAATAGGTAGGAAAAAAATTTATCACCAAAATAACATGAGAGTAGTTTTTTCTTTTGTTTATACCTGAGATATTCTATATTCACCACATAACTTGTGGTTCTTTTTTTTTCCGTGTTTTGGTAGACATAACCAGCGGTTTTTTTTTTTTTGGCATGCATAACCAGTGGTACGTTCTTTGCCGGAACCTTACTATGATATGTGAATTTAAAGATGCATTATTCATTGATACTTCCTCTTTATTTATTTATTTCAAGTAATAAATTGTATTGATACGAAAATCTTATATCTTTTTAATAAATCATATTAAAACTTCTTAATAAAAAATATTAATTGAAAAAACACATTTAATGTCTAGAAAACTTAAAATAACATTTCATGTTTTTTTCTTTAAGTAATTAGGATAATTATTAAAATATTTAAGTAGAAAAACGTAAAATATTCATATTTTTATATATCAAACGTGAACTTTTGAAAAATATTGTAACATGAATTGTCAACCAGAACTTCTAATAATTGTTTCCTGCAACTTATGGTCGATTGACTCAATTACGAGCTCCATGCAATAAATTGATTATTCTCAATCTGGTATCATTTGACCAAAAGAAAAAGAAAAAAAAAAAACTTATGACATAAATTAATCGGTCACATCTATAATGCATATTTCTATATGATTAGAAAATACGAAGATGAGAAATTTGGTTCAACAAGTTTTTTTGTTTTTTTTTTATTTACAAAAAAAAAAAAACAAGTTTTTTTTTTATTAAATTATATATATATAAATATAAATATATATATATATATATATATATATATATATATATATATTTTGCAGCTGCTGTACGTGCAGTAATTAAATACTTGACATATATATACTTGAAAGCATTAAATGCAGAAAATCATAACCATATAAATAATGAAAGTATTAAATGTTAAGAATCATAATCATACACTTGTAGTTACTGTACCTAAAGCAAGTGCAAAAATGATTATATATATATATATTGTGAATGTTATCTTATTTACTTTCAGTCGGTGATTAGAGAAATTCATGTAGCAAGAAGGTCGTCGCATGATTATTGTCTTCTCAGTCCGGAAGGATTTTGATTGAGGTTCTCACCGCTGGGAAAGTTCTGACTTTCAGTTCATAGTTCCGAGTTTAATTTATCATCATAAAAATCATAGCAAAACATCTTAATATATTTTTTTGTATATAAATTGTAATTAATAAGCAGATTCCTGTCACTGTAATGCCTTTATCCATTAGTTCTTGAAATTTGAAAGTAAGAAGCCAAAACAAAAATATAGAATCATCGAAATGCTATTGTCAGTGCTACTGCTAACCCATACCACCAATGTCACCAAATTTAACATCCGAAACGTGAGATTGTACTCTGTGTAGGCACATAAAGGTATTTAAAGTATATTATAGTCGTAATTTATTAAAACTTAAGAGAGATATATTTGTTTCTAATTAAATAACCTAAAGGCATGATACCCCCCGTTGACATAAACCTAACTCGCGGGAAGGGTGCATTTTGATTCCCTTTTCCCCCCGTAAAGTCCAAACCCCAACGCCCGCAACACGAAGCAAACAGCTTTAGATCATATAAAATAAGTCTAAAGAAAAAGCCCCCATAATAATACTACAAGAACAAGCTACTAACTAAAGCTGCCGATACTTTTCGGTAAAGTATATTTCATTCATCCCTAATTATTTCATAATTATTAACTACTAATAATTAAGCTGTCGTATATATACTTTTCTTTTAACTGTGTGGCATGTCAACTTTATTTTTTCTACTTAAAGTTTTACTCTCATCTTTATCAGAAAAACTTTAAATTAAAACACAACCCATACCAATATGGTAAGATTTTTTGACATCTGCTATCATCTTATTGTGTTGGGTTTTATGTTCAAAATTCTAAAACAATAGCTAGAGGAAAAAAAAAATAGAAAATAAGCTTTTGCTACATAAGAACATAAATTTGAAAATTGATAATATATCTCAATAATAAGTGTACTTTAACATCACAATGTACTTTATCCCTTCATGCATGATATTGAAATGGTACAAGTCATTTTTTCTAAGTAATTATCTTTAAAAAAAGGAAAGAAAAAATAAAACCAGCCAAACAAGTTTGAACGAATCAACGGGTCACTCAAATTTGATTACTAACTTGTTTGACACCTATTTTTTTTTTAAACTAAAAGCTAATTTTAAATTAAAATTATAAAAAAGAGTTTTAGAAATAAAGTTAAAAGGTGTTTGATAATTATATAAAAAATTTAGCTTAAAAATTATTTAAAAGCTATTTACTTAAAAAAAAAACTGATATAATTTACAAAAACTTCTCTAGCTTTTGACTTTTATATTTTTTTATTATAATATTTTTTTTCATTATAAGAATTTTTGTAAAAACTTGTCTGACCTATCTTTTACTTATAAGAAAAAGACAAATTATTAGATAGAAAACTCTTTAGAAGAAAGATCTGAACTAGATAAAAAATCAAGTCGTAAATCTGTTTTGTAATCCAAGAGACCAGGGTCGTTTATATTGACTTTTGAAGCAAATTCTTTTTATCACTTTCTTAGTTTAAAAGTACTTTCTATAAAAGTTACAGCTATTTAAATTTTTAAAAAAATATTTGATTTTTGAAAAAAATATTTGACTTCTGACTTCTGCTTTTTGTAAAAGCTAAAAATTTTAACTTCCGAAAAAAGTTAGTTTTTGACTTTTTTTTATGATTTCTGTTTTTTTAAAAGCAGGTATCCAAACAGACTTTTTACGAGAAATGTTTTTTTTCTAAAAAAAGCAGCTTTTAAAGAAAAAGAAAAACTCATCCAAACAGGCTCTAGGAATATCATATCATACAACTTTAGTATTATTATGTATTGATGAAATTATATATTAATTGTTCAAAAATGCAACTTCTTCAGTGAATTTTTCTTTTATTTTTACTGAGCATGAATATTAGTTTCATTTTCATTTCCTTGAACAATTAATTACTTTACACTTATAAGATAAATCTTATCTAAGATCTACACCGCGTGAGAAATATACTAAATAGAATAGCATAATTTATGGCTTCATAATAGCAGCTATAATAAGTAAACACATAACAAAATGAAAACGCAAATGCACGACAGACCTTGTTATTCAGAAGGGAAATGAGGTGGGGGAAAAAAAAAACAGAAAAAAGGAATCCATTAGAAATATAAAAACAACGAACAAAAACACATAAGTGGGTAATCGGCATGGTAGAGTTGTGATTGGTTGGTTGAAAGTTAGCATCAGCCAAACAAAGTCTAGGTAAATACGGCGTCGTCAGATCGACACTCCCGTATCCCTGACGCCTTATTTTCGTAGACTTTAACGGCCCCATTTTAGAAAAATACACACGTCATTTTCTATCCTTTGCAACTTTATGTATTTTTTTGTCTGCTTTGTCTATTTCACACCAAAAGTCACGTAAACGCCGTCATCACGGCTTCGAAACGGAGGCAGCGTCTTTGACGGCACCCTCGTTACCCACGACGGCCGACTGCACCGTCAGCACGGACATGCTCGGAGATGACGGCCCTTCGCCGTTGGATGCGACGGCAGGGTTCGTGTGGGAGCCTCCGACGCCTCCGTTGTTGTTCGGGATCTGGTTTCCGGCGGTGCTGTTGATCAAGGGGTTCCTGGTGTGACACGTGGCGGTGGAGATGGCGGTGGCGAGGGAGATGGGCATGAGACAAAGGCCCTTGCCCTGGAGGTACTGCATGGCGGAGCCCATGTCCTCCTCCATGAGCTTGGCCACCTGGTGCTCCGTCATGGTGAGGCTGTCGTTTGAGGTTGACGCCGCCGTTTGATTACCGTTTGCGTTGCCAGGGAGGGCCCCACCGCCGTTGCTGTTGCCGTTTGCTTTGGCTTGGATGCAATCACCGCCTCCCTACAAAGACAAATCCGTCACGTGACTGTTGTTTTTAGGATGAAGAAGACGTAAAGTGAAACGTACAGAGAAAAAGGGGAAAAAAGAAAGAGGAATCTGAGAAAGTTAGCACGCGTGCTGCTTTTGGATTGTCGTTTTGTGGTGATTAAGAATTTGAGAATTGATATAAGCCAAGGACAAGTGAAATGTTGAGTGGGTTGGTGAGTGTGTGAGAAAGACTCGTATGTCCGACATGTTGATGTGTGGTGCCCAGTGTGTTCCACATTTTGTTTATTCCTTCTATTTCTTCTTATGGAAACACTCTTATGTTTTCCGTTTCCCTTTCTTTAATGGTTCTTGAGTTTCTGTTCCTCCAAGTTTGGTTGATAATGGTAGTATTGTAAGGTAATAATTCAAAAAAAAAAAAAAAAACAGGTGAAATTTAGCATTATTTATTTTAAGAATAATAACAAATTTGATTTTTTGTTTAAAATCTTTAAATTATATTTTGAGAAAAAGTAGGCATGAATGTACAATGGACGAGGGAATTTTTTTTTTTTTAAAGAAAAATAAGTCAATAAATCAATTTCAGTTTTTGAAGCTAGCATTATTATGGTTTTTCTATTTGGAGGACTAGAAAAAGCTATAAATTATTTTGGGGGTGATTAGTAAATGAAAATGGAAAAGCAGTTATAACCTCAGAGGACATATCAGCAACGAGAGGGGCGACAGCAGCTGCACCACCCAATCTGCTCATGCTTAGAACCTGTAACCGAAGCAACAATGCAATTTTAAAATATAATAAAAGGAAGGCGTCAGTGGAATTTTATAACCAGAAGCCCATACTAAAGACCTTTCGATAAACAATTCGATAATTAAATATGCTAGTACTTGATGTTGATGAGGAATATAGATTAGATTAAAAAAATACGAGTATGGTAGTAAACGCAGGAAGCGCACCTTGACTTGGAGCTGCAGGAACTTCACATAATCGATGATCTCATCAAGCATGGATGCCTTGTCTGTCTGTCATTCCACAAACCAAACGAATATTTCAATTTCGGATTTTGACCCATTTATTGTTAGTATATATTTTTTAATATTATTATAATAATAATATTATGTGCTATGACTAAACTACCCTTCAATATTACTCGAAAGTAAGAATTGAAAAACTTGGTCCCTGCTGTGACCAGTGATCATTGTTCGTTTTGGGACCAAGCCTCTGTGCAGCTGTGCTATACAGCTTAACATTTCAAGAACGCACGGAAGCATATGATGAGCCGACAAGGCAAACGCTCAAAGCACCCCAGAATGCGACGTTACTTACCAACCACACTTTCCGTGTTACACTAACATGGAAATACATGACAGTAACAACTTTGTACCAAAAGAAAAAAAAAAAAAAAAATTGACGTTAACTACTACTCCATTTTTGTCGGGAGGACCCAATAGCCCCTACACTACATACCAAAATTACTGTGCAGAAAAGTGCCCACCAAGATCGCCGATTATTGTTGCTTTAATTTCAATTTGTTTTAATTAACTGGAATTAGTGATATAAAAATTATTAACAAAATAAAAAAATGGTAAACGGGTATTCACCTTGTTGGCATTGGGAACCAGTTCCTGCAGAGCCTTCATTCTCTCTGCGATTCTCTCCCTTCGCAACTGCCACAAACAATATAATTTCAGTATGTTAAATAATTTCCATAATTGTTTGTGCTTGGCCTCCAAGAAACGTATAGAAAACAAATCGATTGTGAACTATTATAATGGCGTTTCCTTTTTATTTTTAAGACTTAACACTTATAAACCATAACTATTAAAAGCTTATTATTCTTCTGAAAATTTTGACTTTTCACGTTTTTTAAGGGATATTTTCCATCGAAAATGACAGTTGAAATTATTGGGCTCAATTTTCTGCGCATCTAAACATGTTAAATGAAGCCAAGAATTAAAGACAGAAACACAGTACCCTTTCAGCGATGCTGTGTGGGTCCGTGGCTTGACCTCTCCTGGCCCGAACTCTCTGCCTTGGCTGAGCCGGGGCTCCACCGGCGGTGCCACTCGCCGGAGCTTGGTTCGTTGCTCCCCCACCACCTGGAGCACCAAAATTCTGCCCCTGCATCTGATTCGAACCCCCCTGCCATTCAAAAATTGAAAAAATAAAATAAAATCAACACAACACAACCAAAAAAATAAAGGCCAAAGTAACTGCCAACAACAACTCATAGTGAAACTAAATAAGAAAAAAAAAAGGTTCAAACCTGAGGATGTTGAAAATGTTGAGTCTGATTAGAGGCTTGACCGGTGCCATGGAGAGATCCCGCGAACCCGTTGTACAGAGCTTGAACTGAAGCATCACCACCCTACCAAAACGAAAAAATAAAAAAATAAAAATTAATAAAAAAAAAAAATTTCAGTAACAGTGTAACAGAATCAGAAAAGTCTTGGCCTTTAAACGAGCCTCTAACCGGATTGGGAGATTTGAAGGATGAACCGTCAACGACGTTGTTTCCACCCAACGACAGCGGCATCTGGAGGAGACCAGAGTCGCCTCTGGACATGAGGAGCTGCTGCTGAAGCATAAGAGCGGCGGCTGCGGCCTTGGTTGTCGGAGAAGTGGCGCTGATCTGGTGGTTGCGGAACTTGGAGGCCAACGTGGCGTGTTCGTCGTAGGGGAAAGCGACATTCTCGGAGTTAGACGGCGGCGTTTCGTCGGAGAGGTCTGAGGGCTTGAGATTGTGAGCGTTGACGTTGTTGTTGTGGATGGAATTGGAGGGATTTGGGTCCCACAAGGGTTTGTTGTTGGGGTTGAGGTCTGGCCAGGAGCAAGATGGAAGGTTCGAGAGCATTTGCTCGAGGAAGTCATCGTGGGAAGTTGGGTCGAAGTGAGGGGTTGTGTGGTTGAGTTGGTGTTGGTGTTGGTGGAGATGGTTCATGTGAGTGTTTTGGATCTGGTTGTTGTTGTTGTTGTTGTTATTGTTGTGGAGGTCGTGGAGAGAGATTTGAGAAGAGTTCAAGAGGGAGTTGATTCCTTGCATTTCTCTGCTACGGGGCTGCATAATTGAAAGAGAGAGAGAGAGAGAGATAAGGACAAGGGTCTGAGACAGAAGCGCGGGTCGTTAAAAAGGGCACTCACTCAGACTGAAACATGAACAGAGTCAGGAGTGGAAAGAGCATTGCGGTTTGGGGGATTTTCGATCAGAAGTAGTTTTGTGTTTGTGTAGTGTGTATCGTATTCTTTTCTTAAGTTTGGTGTGGATAGTTTTAAATAGCAGAAGATGAGTAGTCCCTACAATAAAAAATAAAATAAAATAATGTATATATAAATAAATAAAAGATTGCAGATTATTAGAATATTTTTATATTTATTTTTTGGGAGTTCGGATTCGGATTATTGCAATTTCTTCTCTTCTTCTCTATCATTTTGCCTTCTTTTTTTTTTCTTAATCCAATTATTATTGCAATGGAGTAGTATCATACAAGAGGTCATTACAATGGTTCCAAACGAAAAAATAATAATAACCTCTATGTCATGCTATTTTTTTTGCTTCACTTCTTTCTTACTTCCTTGTTCGTTGCTACATCATTATTATCGTTTTGGTATTTACGAATATTAATTTTCAACATCATAATTTAATTAACCATGGTCATCTCTTGCCTTTCTTTCTTTCTTTTTTAACTTTAGCACTCACATTTGGAGATGAAGGAAGCAAACGTTTTGAAATTCATCAAGAACCCCATCCATGGAATCAAGCACCATGGCCAAAGAGAATACAAAGGGTAATGGAAAATTTACTCTAGAAATAACATACAAAAAATAGATGGCGCCAGCAGTGGCGGAGCCACAATGGAGCTGGTGGTGCTTTAACTCTAGCTTATTTTTTGAAAATTAGTCACGTTTTAAGCGTGGCTAAGTCACAGTAGCTATTCTGTAGGATGGACTATAGTGTTTGGCACCAGCTAAGTTCTTCTTAGCCCTAGCTGGGTTAATTAGGCCGCTAGCTCCGCCACTAGATGAAAGGTGAATCCATTGAACCCAGACAAAATCTCATAGGGTGCATGGAGAGCGCCTACAATAAACTTTGAAAAGGATTGTCTAGCATTGGGGCAGTGAGCCTCATTCATTGATAATAAACTCTCTTTTGAAGAAGTTGAGAATTTTGTAATTGTGTGTAGCATGGTTCAAGATGTGAATTAATGGTGCAATAATAAGTTTTCATTTTTGTATTTTGTTTTGGTGAATTAATAGTGATGTAGATAAGTTAATTATCAGTAAAAAAGGAAAGATGACATGTGGATTAGTATATTCCTTGGCGCTAGCCACGTGATAAATGTTACAATTTTATTTTATTGGGGGTGGTGTTTATAACACCTCACATTTTTAAGTTTAAATATTCATAAGTTAAATGAGAATTAAAGGGAAGGATTAGTGAAAATCCTGAATAGAAAGTCGAAATACATAAAACGGTAAATTGACAAATTGTTGTTGACCTTGTTACATTTTATGGTATCAGAGCAGTTGTGTTAGGGAACTCTGATAATGCATAACTGTATTTTGTGTTGCATAGCTATTTGTGAACTGTTTATGATTACTGCATATGTGATTCCTCAGTGTGGGTCTGATCAACTCATTCCTTTGTGTTACATGTACAGATATCATGAGTAGGGCACGAGGTCGCCGTGGAACCCGAGGTGCAGGTCGTTTAGTAGCACCAGATCCTATTACTGCAGTTCTGAATGCTCTACAGGAAGAGACTGCAGCGAATAGAAATATGACCGAGACCCTGATGAAAAATAATCAGGATATGATGCATGCCTTTATGAATGAGATGAGGGCAGAGAGGGCTCAGAACAAGAGGGATGATTCTCCTCCACATACGACTATGGAGACTCATACCTGTACGCCATCTGTTACACCTCAGCAGGAGGAGAGTGGGGCTAGTCGTCATTCTGGGGAGGCTAGTCGTCACACTACTGATCCTACTTATATCCCAGAGCCTTCTGTGGATCCTTCTGTGGTTGCTCAGTCTGCTGGAGTTGCTGGGCAAGTATTTGTTGGTACTGACGAGCAGAGGCTCATTTCTTTCAGAAAGCATAAACCGCCAGCATTTCAGGGGTCAAGGGACCTGAAGGTAGTGACTACTTGGTTGATGGGTATGGAAAAGATATTTCAGGTTATGGGGTGTCAGGATCCCCAAAGATTATTGTATTCTATTTATATGCTCGAGGGAGATGCCCACGAGTGGTGGTATACTACATCTCAGCCTTTTGTTATTCAGGGGGAAGAAATTACCTGGGCTTTATTTGAAAGATTATTTCATGAAGAGTACTTTCCCAGGGATGTTCGGGAAGCTAAACAGGGTGAGTTTGAGAAATTGGTACAGGGTACCATGACTGTTGATGCCTATGTGGCGAAGTTCAATGAGTTAGTGAAGTTTGCTAATTATAGGGGTGTGTTGCCGACTCTTGAGTTTCTGTCTGCTAAGTTTCAGAGAGGTCTGAATGATAAGATTGCTAAAAGAATGTCTAATCTGTTGTGAGGAATTTTGCAGATCTAGTGACCCAGTACAAGCGGGTTGAAAGTGTTTATAACAGATATCCAAAATCTAGTTCTTCGAGGACATCTGGTCCTCCAGGTAATAATAACAGAGGTGGCTACCATCAGAATAATAATAGAGGTAGGGGGTTGCAGGTGAGGCAGTCTCCGGGTCAGATTAAGAGGGGTGGTGGTCAGAGAAGTGGGTTCAATGGACGGAATTCTAATCCCCGCTGTGATAAGTGTAAGAGATTTCATCAGGGGCCTTGTACTGTGGCTCCGAATTCTTGCTTTAAATGTGGTAAGGTTGGACATTTTGCCAATAATTGTTACAGTAATACTGGGCAGGCTGCGAATCCGCAGGCCTTGCCATATGTTAGTATTTGGGTGTCCTAGAGACAATCTTATGATTAAATAAGGACAGAGATGTAGACCTTTTTAATATTGTCGCAAATAAATAAAAGCACTCTTTATCTTGTTTCATAATTATGTCTCGATATTAATATTAATATATTATGAATAACTTGATAAACCCCGTGGAATAAAATAGGTATCTCTTGAGTATCTGTGATGAGATCACAATCATGAGGATTCAAGAATACTGGATGTTTATTCCTAATTTTATGTTCCTAGTCTAGAGATACTGAGAATGGGGTCAGTAATCTTGGGTAAGACTAGCACGACTTATCTATTTGTATATGGATACAAGGTATAGACCTCATGTGCTACAGATATGGAGATGTCTTAGCTAAAGTCGTGGGTGGACCTATAAGGGTATAGCTCGCACTGAACGGACCCACAAAGAGACTCTATGAGGAACTCTCACAGAGAGTATCATTAGAGTAGTCTCTTTATATTTGGGTATGTCTTTCCTAAGACCAGAAGTTATTACCTAGACTGTGTTCTAGAAGGCATGCTTTGATTGTGCACCTCGTCTGCCTGAAACATGGAGACTAGGTATATTGTTGGGCTTGTCCTGAAAGAACACAGGGCTAAGGTGATAAGCTGAAGGAATTCGTCAAATCTCAGTGAGAGATTAGGTTATCTGTAAACCGGAGAAATCGGGATGACATTTACAGGGACTCGGGAATCTATGCATAGTAAAAGAGATCATGAGATGATCTGCCTTTAGAGTCTGTAAATTGAAGATTCCCTATTTCGAATAAAGCTTACCCTAAACCGCAGGGGTTGATACGCTTCCTTACCCTAGGTTTTATGGGAAGGTAACCGAGACGAAAGGAAATATATACGTCAACCAAATATGTTTAATAGGATGATCAAATCATTAATCTAACTAGTTCTGAGGCAACAAAGCATTGTTAGTGCTCTGTGTTGTCATTAGATGGGTTGTGGGCTTATTGGACCCAAGCTCATTTATGTCAGTGGCTAAGTTGGACCTAATGGGTCACACACAAACACCTAATTGTCTAGATGCTCTAGCATTAAAGGTATTGGGCCTAATAATAGTTATTAGCCCAAGAAGTTGTTTGGAACTCCACCTAAAGGGGTGGAGGGCGAATGGTTCATTGTAATGGGCTTGGATAGTCCAAGACATTACTAATTAATTTAATTAGTTAAATTAATTATCAAACATTTAAATTTTGAATTTTGGAATTCGAAATTTGAAATTTGAAATTTTGAATTTTGAATTTGAATTTCGAATTTTGAATTTGAAATTTGAAATTTGAAATTTGGATTTTGAATTCGAATTTTGAAATTTGAAAATTTGAATTTTGAATTTAAATTTTGAATTTGAATGTTTGAACATTTGAATTTGAATTTGAATTGCATATGAAAGATTGTTTCATAACAAAAGGATAAGATGAGATCTTGTTGGAACAAATCACTAGTATCATGAGAGAATTTTTTGGACAAGATCCAAGGCCATATATGGCGCTGATTTGGGTTGTTGGTGAGCAAGATTTGCTCATCAAAATCAGCTCCAGAAGATTCAGTCAGTTGGGAGAAAATCTGAGTGAGTTGATTTAAATTTGAATGCAACTACTCAGATGTATCTGGTCACCTTTTTGGGCTATATGGGGCGCACCATATAGCTGATCTTATGAAGATTTCTGATCAGGATTTTGAATAGGTTTTTGAACCAATTCTCAAGAGAATATTCTAGGAGACTGTTAGCAATTTTTGAAATAAAACAGCTCCACCTCTCTCTCTTCAATCTGGGAGAAAAATCTGATTGGTATTTTATTTTAAATACTCTCATCTTATGCACCTATGTGAAAGTTGTTCCTCCAAGGGTTTTTCTGAAAACCTAGCCTATTATCTCCTCTCTCCTGCGCCACTTGTGAAGCTTTCACATTGAGAGCTTCACTTTTTCAAACACTTTCACCTAGCCTCCATCTTCACACATAGAGCGCCTAGCAAGCCTCTTTGTGGTGATCATCCGGTGGCTTCACAAGAAGGAGTTCTTGCACCTAGACGAGTGGGTGGTGTGGATCAACGTTAGAGGGTCTGAACCCTTCAGACCGGCCTTGATCATCTGGTGATTTCACGAACAAGGTAACATCATGCTTTCCTAAAGCATGATCTTGATGTGCATGTATATTCCGCAAAGAAAAATTTTGTTTTTCCCTCTTGCATGCATCGGCCTTCAAGGCCATTTCGAACTTGCAAGTGGTATCAGAGCCAGGTTGCTTTACCATCGACGGGTGATGGTACCTTGTTTGTAATCATATTTTTCACGGTTAAAATCTCTTTAAAGGTTAAAGATTCAATTTTTTATGAATGGATTCTAATTTACAATACTTTAAACGGTTAAAGTTTTTGTTTTTATGAACATGTTATTTCGAATGCCATGTTCATGCATCCATTCATATTCATGGTTGTCTTTTTCTTTATAAAAGTTTTGAAAGGAAGCACCTTTTTGAAGGGTGGAGTTCGACCATGAAAGGTGTTTTGAACACCTTGAGTGTTTTCTTATTTGTTTCTCCATGAATTGTTTCATGAGCATGCAATAAAAATTTTTCGAAAATTAATCTCATATACATGAGTATATGGTTCGGCCATTAAGTGTTGATGGCTATATGCATGATTTAATTTTGTGTTCTTTGAGAAAGAGTCAACAAAATTAGAATTATATTAATTGTTATATAATTCGGCCAATTGAAAAATTAAGAAAAGTTTTAAATTTTAAATATGTTTTGATAATTAATTGTTAAATATCAAGACATAAGTGAAAAATATATATTATGTGATAATATTTTGTACTTGGGAGTTGTCTAACATTTCAGGTGCAAAAGAGGAAGGGGATGGTCATGGTGCCCGGAATTTGAAATTTGAAATTTAAATTAATGTGTAATTTTGGGCTCTTTTAAAAGATATGTAATTTGAATTTCAAATTTTGTATTTTAAATTTTGTCCCTCCAAGATGTTTTGGAGTTTCTTTAATTGTAATTAGAGAAATTAGGCTAGTGGCATATAGACGACAAGAAGCCGAGGCTTGAGAAGCAAGATGGACAAAAGAGCGAGCACCATGACTATCTCAAAATAAAACTGTTTTATTTGCATGTATGTTATTATATGACTAGTATGCATGAGATAGAGTATCGCGATATGTATTCTTTATGACTTATGACGTCTAGTATGCATGAGTTGGACTAAATCGCGTTTGTATGATTATTATGCATGTCCAATTGCGACTAGTTTAAACCGGTAGATGTATGACATAGGTAACGACTAGCATGATAATATATTAATGCGTTTGATGAGACTTAATAAACCCTTAATAAAATGAACCCTTAAAAGGAATAAAATTATTAAGCGCATGATTACCTCCCACCACCAATATTACTCAAACCTCCTCTAAATAGTGGTGCTCTACAACCCAGTTGGGACCCACTGTTTCGTTGAGTAAGAGTAGTATTAGAAGTGTAAGACACTTGGGGTGCTGGTTAGTGCTTAACTGAGACATAAGCTGTAGGCCCAGCCGGGCTTATGTGCTTAGGGTAATAGTGCTAGGTTGGTTACATGAGATGCACCACTAAGTGACAAGGAGTTGTCAACCTAATGTTAAGAAAGGGTATGAGATACCATTGATAAAGATCAATCCATTATTTAAATTAATCTTGCGGTATCAGACCGGGGTTAAAATAAATAATCGCATTCTTAATCTCACTAAGGTAAAATCTAAAAGTAGAAATACCCTAAGTCAAAAGGAAGGGTCATTGACTTAGATAAAATAGTGGGAGGGGCAAAATTATTTAAAGTCTTTAATAATTTTTTTACTACATGATCAAATATTAATTAATTTTATCTTTACATTTTTCAGTTAATTAGTATGACTAATACACTTTCACTGCGCTCCATACTTGATACGAACAAGCTGACCGGTCCAAATTTTATGGACTGGTATCGGAACCTAAGAATTGTTCTAAGGGCCGAAAAGATTGCTTACGTCCTAGATGCTGAATTACCTGTAGCTCCTAGGGGAGGGGAAGATGGGTTCGCGGAATATGATTTCGAGGCCCACAAACAGCACATGGATGACAATGTGTTGGCTGTCTGCATCATGTTGGCATCCATGTCGCCTGAACTGCAAAAGCAGCATGAGCATATGGATGCTCCCTCTATTGTCTTACATCTAAAAGAGTTGTATAACATTAAAGGCAGGCATGAGAGGTATGAGGCCTCAAGAGAATTATTCTCTTGCAGGATGTCTGAGAGCATGTCTGTTGGCAGTCATGTTCTTAAGATGATCAGCCTGATTGAGAAGCTAGGAAATCTAGGCTTTATCATGGATGCCGAACTAAGTAATGACTTAGTCTTCACCTCACTTCCACCTTCCTTTAGTCAATTCAACATGAATTACCACATGCATGGGATGCAAGTGAGCTTGCCTGAGTTGTTAAGTATGTTAACAACTGCTAAAGTGTCTATCAAAAAGGATAAGACACAAGCTCTTCTGATTGGTGGGCCTAGCAGGGCCAAGGGTAAGGGTAAGGAGCCTGCTAAAGGTGACTCCCTTAAACCCAAAGGAAAACCCAAGAA